ACCCAAGGCTCATTGCATGCTGTAATAGCTTGTACAAGACCATTTCTAAGATTTTATGTAGAACGCTCAAGAAAATTCTGCCAAATATTGTCAACTTAAACCAGGGAGCTTTCATAGAAGGGAGAGAACTAGTCCACTATGCCCTTTTATGCCAGGAATTGGCAAGAGGTTATAATAGGAAGATTATTTCTCCTCGGTGTTAGTTCGCCTCTTGTAGTGTTAGTTCCCCTGCTTTGGTTGGCATCATTTTCTGCAAACACAACCACATTAGTTTAAGAAATATGATTAGTTTAAGAAATATGATTTAGTAAGTGTTGTAGCATTTAGGTCTGTCATCCTACTTGGAATCAGAGAAAACTTCTGACGCCAGGAGACTGTGACAACCATCATCACAAGTCTATCTTCTCAAGGAGTCTGGACAGATTGAAATGATTGAAACCTCGTCAAATATCACTAGTCAAGCACGTGCGTGGCCCTGGATATCTCTTCAGCGCAAGGAGTCCTTCCAGCAATATCCTAGGGTTAGTAGGTGCTCTATATATATACAAAATGCTAGAGAAGAAGAAGAGTGACGACGAGAGAGGCAGAAAGATACGAGTGATCCAGGAAACAAAAGAGAGATTTAAGCCTACAACGAACTTGCGCAATATTGTTCATCATAAGCGTGAGGTTCTGAGTTGTAAACTCAGAATTGCAGAATCTGGTTGTCAAAGGTATATGACGTACACCCGTGAGAAGTAATATTGATCCAGGTGTTGAGTACTGTGTTACCCTGGGGTCAAGGCTTATCAACACGTCCAAGGAAGAAACCAAGGTGTGGGTGTAACAAGCCGGGGAGACAGGTGCAATCACTGTTTGACACCTGAGGTCATTTGTAAGTAGTTTTTACAGTCAAACTTCTTGACGCTACGTTTGTGGTTGATTTGTGTAAAAACTTATGATGATCTAATGGAAGGCTGTTACACGGACGTGGGCCTCGCAGACGTAGGAGATTCAGCTCCGAACTGCGTAAACATTTTTGTGTGTGTGCTTTGCTTCTGTTACTTTATTATCTGTCTCGTTTGCTTGTGTGGGTGTTGGAACACCGCGTGTGTCATACATCTCTGTGTGGTTAAGTTCTTTGTTCTGTGTGTGTAACGTATCACTGTGAGAATTCCCCGGTGGTATAACCTTAGACATTTCACTCGGTGCTTGATGAAATTAGACCTCCAAAAGGCTTATGACAATGTAAGTTGGAAAGCAATTAAGCAACTACTTTTATACCTTAAATTTCCTTCAAAGTTCATCAAGTGGATTAACTACTGTGTCACATCTACCTCATATGCCATACACCTTGAAGGACATAACTTTGGATTTTTTAGAGGCAAAAGAGGATTAAGGTAAGGTGACCCTATTTCACCTCTCTTGTTTATTCTAATGATGGAATACCTGTCTTTTCATTACTTTGCTATCAAATAAAGCTTCACCTATCATCCTCTATGCAAATCTTTGAAAATTATTAATATTGTATTTGCCGATGACTTAATTGTGGCATTCAAAGCTGATGAGAAAACCATCAAAACTGTCATGCTTGCGCTGGATCATTTTAAATGCACAACAGGTCTCTCTGTGAATCCTTTGAAGTCTGAAATCATCTTTGGAGTTATTGCTAACAAGATGGAGAAGAAGCTATTGTGCCTGACTAATATGAACAAAGGTACATTTCATTTTCAATATCTAGGAAGCCCCATCACCTCTTCCAGAATCAGTAGTAAGGAATGTGACAAATTGGTGGATAGCATGACCACCAAAATTAATACTTGGTCATCAAAACACCTTTCTTATGCTGGTAAGGCCAATTTGATCAATTCTATACTGTTTGGTATTATGAATTTTTGGAGCAGACTCTTCCCGATTCCAACAAAAGTAATGAACAAAATTGAATCCTTATGCAGAAATTTTCTTTGGGGTTCATCTTGTGGATACAAAACCCCTTTAGTTTTATGGGATGATATTTGCACTCCTAAAAAGAATGAGGAATTAAGACTAAAAAATTTGATTTTGTGGAATAAGGCCTATGTCATGAAACTAATTTGGGACATAACATTGAATAAGGATATATTATGGATTAAATGCGTTCACACTAAGTACTTGAAAGACTATAACATCTGGGAGTGTCCCTAGAAATCTGATACTTGTTTCTAATGGAAAAAACTTCTTTGCATAAGAGGAATGTTTAAGGCCATGGGCAGCAACATCCCTTATTCTCCAAAACTGGGAAATAACTGGTTGCTTGGACAAAAACAAGGACCTTGTTGGGCTAAAGTGGTTTGGAGTAAATTCACCATTCCTAAACATAAATTCTTGCTATGGATCATCTGCAAGGACATGCTGCAAACCAAAGTAAGGGTCAATAGATATACTCCTGTGGATACCCTTTGTGTACTTTGCAATTCTGGAGTTGAGGACTGCCAACATCTTGTATGCAGCTACCAGTATACTTGAAGGTCTATGATTGGACTCATTACATGTTTGTGGGGTGCTCGGGTGGGAGAAATCTTAGAGTATCTACAAAAATTTTCTTGGCTAGATAAAGATGGAAAATGATTGCTATCTTTAGTGCTTGTGTTTATTTCATTTAAAGAGCCAAAAACTATCTTCTATTCAGAATTATGACCCCATCAGTAGAAGAAACACATCATCGAATCAGATATCATGTGTGCACCTTCTTGCATGTTAATAAGGAAAGTTTTGATTGAGCTTCCAATCTCATAGGGATTTGAGTGCATATGTGAAGCTGGAAGGAGGGGAGGGTATGTCTTGTCCCTTTTATTTCTTTGTAATGTCCCTAGTCTAGCCTCTTTGTAATATGGTGGTTGTTATCCCTTACTTTGTTCACTATTTTGTACTAGGACTGAGGTGATAATATATTTTGCATTTTGTTCAAAAAAAAGTTTGGATCATAGTAAAAACCCAATCGAACAAAACGGAATTAATTAGTGCAAAAATGTGTTGGTTATTTGAATAATCATATGGGTTATTCAAATAACCCATTAATTTTTTACGAATTGAAATCTTTTTTTGGGCCCAGCGAATCAACTAGGATAAAATTGATCAGGTTAATCGAATAATCATATGTGTTATTTGAATAACTCATTTATTTTCTGGATCAAAATATCTACTAGGTTATTCAAATAACCACATGATTATTCGAATAACTAGTCCTCTATAATCATTGAAACTTTGCGTTCAGGCAGATTTCTCCAATGTCTTTCTTTGGTCATAAAACATCATATAAACATTCGTTAACAATCATAGATCATTTTAAATAACTAAAATTACAGTTTTAATGTCCAACAACAAATTAGTGGTTCCAAAATCACCAAGTTCATCAAAAACTATATTCATAATTTTCTAACACAAAACTCAACATGAATCATCATTTATGAATGTAAAAACAATCTAGATGCATACTTTAACATGAGATACTCTACACTCTCACCTCAAACTTTAACGAAGTAAATTGGCAATCGAACGATGAAACTTCTGGCAAGAACTATGACTATCTCCAATGATAACAACGATAGTGATTCTATTCGGCATGCTCTCCTCTATCTTCTGATTCACACAAACTTGGAATGGATGAGAATGATGAAGAAGTAGTGAATTTGTATAGGCCCATTATAGGCTTGGGAAGAGGAGAGTCGTGCGGAGCTTCAAGGATTTGCTTCGATTGTGATTTTTATAAGTGGGGGAGGGGGTTGTTGATTTAAGTAATCCCTTTCACTGTAGTTTGATTAAATTACCTCAGTTGGAATATTTTTTTGTCTAACTTTCTCCAAATTAAAATCAAATTACACTATTGTGATCAATTAGTCAAGCTCTACACAACAATATAATTTTCCAAATCAATTGACAAACTTCATAAACCACTTTTTTATCCATCTTAGTAATTAATTATCAATTATTTAACTCTTATATACCTATTTTTGGGCATAAGAGAAAATGCCAAAGACTGAATTTTAAATCTGAAGAGAAGGACGCTCAAACTCAGACTCAGATATAGAAAGTCTTATCAAGTTCTCTACGGAGAATGACTCCACGTGATGGTGAGGTTAATGGTAAAATTAAGGATTTATCTTATTTGTAAAACACGGATAATTTGGGAAAGTAAATAGATTTTTGAATGAACTAACTAAATAGTGTTAATGACTATTATTTATGTGTTTATTATAAACTATTCTATGAAATCTATATTGTCGTACCACTTAGTGATTTTTGTGGTTGGATAGCTTTTTTTGTTGTGTGACTCTTCATATGGAAAATGAAAAAATTAAATCTGGATAAAGAGAATAATTTTTTTAGATTGTGATTAAATTTTGTGTAATTTAACAAGGAAAATTACGAATACTCCACAAGAGAGGGGAGGGAGGGAGGAGTAATGTGATACCCTGTTAAAAAATCACTTTAAATAAGAGTAAAATTTATTAGTTATCTTCAAAATAACAGTTTTATGTTTTTATCTCCAAAATAGAAGTTTTATGTTTTTATTTCCAAAATAGATGTTTGCAGTGTGATATTATATATTAGCATCTCACTAAATTTTTTTGTACCATATATTAACATTATTGATATTATACTCATATTTTAAGATAAAAAATATGAAACCTATTTTGATATTTTCTTATTTCACTTAAACTTTAGTTTTTTCCCTCCTCCATTGACCCGGTCAAGTCACTACTAAAACGGGGTAGAGTTCTCTGGAGAATGGTCCATGGAAGCATAGGGGAAGCCTCAACTTCTTTTAAATCTCTCCGTTTAGCTAGAGTCAGTGTTTTCCTGAATCACGCAACTATCAACGAAATTCCTAAATCTCTCGCAAAACCCTTAAATAGAAATCCTAGCCTTCGAATTTATTCAGAAGAATCCACTGCTGAACATATATGCATGTCAAATTGTAATCAACGCGTATAACATATACGGAGTATATATTTATATATAGGACAAGACAAAGCATCGAGCTTTCAACTCAATTTCAAAATTTGGGTCTTTGGGGGGAAGGAAGATTGGCTGCAATGTCAGTCAATCGGAGAAGGAGCAAAGGAGGAGAGAATCGGTTTTATTGTCCGCCAGCATTGAGGCGGCAGCAGCAGCAAAGGCAGGCGGCGGCTCACAATTCGAAATATGATCAGAGAACTGGAGAGTCTGAAGATGCAGCATCCACTACATCAACTACGGCCATGCCTACCTCAAGCCCATCGTTTTCCACGAATTTGGATCGGTTTTTAGAGTATACAACCCCTAAAGTACCTGCTCAGGTACTAAAGAGATGTATACTGACTACAAGTAACAGTTTTTCCCTTTTCCCCTCTTCTTTTCTTTCCTGATAATGTTTAAAGTAATCTCCTTTAGTCTAATTAAGCAACATTCTCAGATTTTTATTCATTTCGATTAGTTTTTTCTGTCAGTGTAGGCATGGAGTGGTAACTTTTCAATAGAAATCTTTAATTAATGATAACCATGATCTCTACTTGTTTTCTCAATCCACATAAAGCATAGAGAGCATATTTGAATAGGATGCACTCTTCATGTTGATATACATATATGGTTATAATTTAGTGTTTCGTTCACATTAATTTACGGATATACCTTGTAAAGTAAAAAATAAAAAATTTTAAATTTCAAGTTTTAAATTCTTCCATAGATGAAATCAAATTGGAACATTTGGATATGTGCAGACGCACACGAGATGTTGGAGATATCAGGACAGTGATTTCGGCCCCTACTTCATTTTGGATGATCTTTGGGAATCTTTTAAGGAGTGGAGTGCGTATGGAGCAGGAGTTCCTCTTGTTTTGAACGAGAGTGATTCTGTAGTCCAATATTATGTCCCATACTTGTCTGGGATGCAACTGTATGTTGGCAAATCCAGGTCTGTGATAAGGGTTGTTAGTAGTTGTAAGTTTGTTAATGGTGGTTACAGGGTTTGTTACAAGTTGTTAGTTGGTTAGCTGATGTGGCAAAGCATTTTGAGTTGTATAAATACGTAGGGCTATGCTGTAAAGAGACAATAATGATGAAATCAATCTTCTTCTTCTCTCTAAATATCCTTCCCGGTTCTTCCTCCCCAAAATATCTTCCCTTCTTCCCCAATCTTCTCAAACATTCATAGCAAGTTCAACTTGCTATATCAGTGGTATCAGAGCAGCGACCAGGGATAGCTTCCAATCTGACGTCTTCTGGATCGTATCATTGATCAACGGCCATGGAAGCTCAGTTGAAGGTTATTGAAGGTAGATTCGCTGGTGTCGATGACAGATTCAAAGCCCAGGAACGCAAAATGGATGAACAGATGAACCAGATAATGATGCTCCTGAAGAGTTTGGAGGCTAAGGTAGGTCAGGAGAAGGAGCCCAGCACCTCTACCAGCGGAGGTGATGGAGGCCATTCATACTCACGAACACTGAGTTTCAATCCGAAACTCGAGTTCCCTAAATTTGATGGCAGCAACACGCGAATCTGGATTAAGAAAGCATGTAAGTACTTCGCCCTTTGTAAGATTCCTGATGAACAATGGGTGGACATTGCTAGTTTACATATGGTGGATAGGGCTGAAAATTGGGTTACAAGCTACATGTCTTTCAGAAAATATGTTGCTTGGCATGAATTCATCATTGATTTGAGTGCCAGATTTAGGGATGAAACAGGGAATAATGTGGTAGAACAATTTAAAAGGCTAGAACAGAAAGGATCACTTGAAGCTTATATTGATGATTTTGAGGATCTGAGGTCTGTGTTGAGTCAGAACAACCATTATCTGCCTGATTCTTTCGTTCTGGATTCTTTTATTGGTGGGTTGAAGCCTTCTGTTAAACTGTTTGTTAAAGCATTTAAGCCTAGTACTATAGCCCAGGCAACTGAATATGCTAGGTTAAAGGAGGAATCATTGGAAGTGGAGGGGTCAAGGTTCTCTAAATTCAGCCACCCTTACAACAACAAACCTTCCGGGGGAAACTCCAAGGTCTTCACAAACAATTCATCAAAACCTGCTCTCTTACCTATTCCCCAAATAAAACCTGCTAGTTTCCCAAAATATGTACCTTCCACCCAGTTTGGCCCTAACAAGAACTTTAAATACATACCTGCTGATGTGAGGGCTGAGAAAATAGCCAAGGGATTGTGCTACTACTGTGACCAACCTTTTCACAAGGGCCACAAGTGTAGTTTTAAGGAGCAACAATTGTTTACAGTTGAAATCCCTGCTTAGGGAGCTCATCACAGTGAACAGGAGGAGTGCATAGCTGAATATTTGGAGGACCAGTATGATGTAAGTGAGAGGGGAGAAAGTTCTGATGCTTGTATATCTGTACAAGCTCTTACTGGAGGGCACAGCTACCAGACAATGAGGATAATGGGAATGGTTGGAAGGAGGCCCATCCATATATTGGTGGATTCTGGAAGTACTCACAATTTCTTGAATTTTGATACTGCAATAAGTTTGGGATGTCAGGTGGAGAAGGTACTCACCCAGGCAGTGACAATGGCGGATGGGAATAAGATCCCTTGTCAATATGCTTGTGATAAGTTTACATGGCAGATGCAGGACAGGGAATTTACCACAGATGTCTTGTTAATCCCATTAGGTAGCTGTGACATGATTTTGGGGATTCAATGGTTGGAAACATTGGGACCAGTTTATTGGGACTTCAAGGAAATGACCATGAAGTTTGACTTGAAGGATGGTTCATTTTTGCTGAAAGGAATTATAAATAGGAGATTGAAGGTGGTGGAAGCCCCAAAAGTGTTCAACAATTCTATTCAGTTTTGCCTACCGCAAGTCTTTGCTGAGACAGAGAATGATGCTTCCAGCCTCTTACACTGTGCTGAAAGTAGAGAGCAGACTGCTTCAGATAATGAACTGGAAAAATTAAAGAAAGACATTAGTATGCACTTTGAAGATCCTACAGAGTTGCCACCTCACAGAGGGACCTTTGATCACAGGATCCCCTTGGAACCAGGAGCAAGGTCTGTCAATATCAGACCTTACAGGTATCCCTTGAAACAAAGGGATACCATTGAGCAGTTGGTACAAGAGATGCTGGACAGAGGGATTATTCAGCATAGTGCTAGCCCTTTTGCTTCACCTGTGGTCTTAGTGGGGAAGAAAGATGGAACATGGAGGTTGTGTATAGATTATAGAGAGTTAAACAGCAAAACTATAAAGAATAGATTTCCTATTCCTATAGTGGAAGAGCTGATAGATGAACTAGCTGGGGCAGCAGTGTTACTAAATTGGACTTAAGGGCAGGATACCATCAATTAAGAATCCACCCACCAGATATTTACAAGACAGCCTTTAAGACTCACACAGGGCATTTTGAGTTTTTAGTAATGCCTTTTGGCCTTACTAATGCACCAGCTTCATTTCAAGGATGGATGAATGAAGTATTCAAACCCCTATTAAGGAAATCAGTTATAGTCTTCTTTGATGACATACTTGTCTATAGTTAACCATGGAAGAGCATTGGGGCCATCTAAGACAAGTCTTTGAACTGATGAAGGAGAACAAGATGTATGCGAAACTCAGCAAATGTATCTTTGCAAGTGACAAGGTGGAGTATTTGGGCCATTTCATTTCTGCAGAGGGGGTTGAAACATATCCAAGTAAAATCAATGTCATTTCCAGTTGGCCAGTTCCTGCAACAACTAAAGAACTCAGGAGTTTCTTGGGACTAGCAGGTTACTACAGGCGATTTATCAGAGGGTATGCCACACTCAGCAAACCTCTCACTGACCTGTTAAAAAAAGGGGGGTATCAATGGTCAGAAGGTGCTCAACAAGCCTTTGTGTCCCTAAAATTGGCTTTGACTTCAGCCCCTGTATTGGCAGTACCTGATTTCACTCTAGTATTTGAGATTGAAACAGATGCTTCTAAGGAAGGAATTGGGGCAGTCCTTATGCAGAATAAACACCCTTTGGCCTTCATTAGTAGATCACTTGGACCCAAATGGCAGAAGTTATCAGTGTACGAGAAGGAGTTGTTGGCCATTGTCTTTGCAGTCCAAAAGTGGGAGCAGTACTTAATGGGTAACCACTTCATCATTAAGACTGATCAGAAAAGTTTAAAGTGGCTTTTACAGCAAAAGGTATCCACGCCCTTTCAACAGTTTTGGCTCTCTAAACTATTGGGATTTGACTATGAAATTGTCTATAAAAGTGGAAGTGAAAATGTGGCTGCTGATGCACTATCTAGGGTGCAGGGATCAGAACTCCTACTAATGGCTATCTCAGTGGTATCTTCTGATTTGGGAAAACAGATCCAAGCCACTTTTTCCCTTGATCCAAATCTCAAAAATATAATCAAATCTCTTCAAACTTCTCAACCTGTGCATTTTTCATTCCAGGAGGGATACTTGAGGAAAAAAGGGAAGTTAGTCATAGGCCCTAGTGATCAGTTAAAGGGAGATATCATTAAATGGCACCATTGCAGTCCAGAAGGGGGTCACTCTGGAAGGGAAGACACTCTGAGGAGGGTTAAGGCTTTGTTCTATTGGAAGGGGATGACCAAAACAGTAAGTCACTTTGTGAGGAACTGTTTAGAATGTCAATCTTCAAAATATGAAACTCTTGCAAGCCCAGGACTGCTCCATTCATTACCCATTCCTGAGGGAGTTTGGCTGGACATCTCAATGGATTTCATCTCTGGTCTTCCTAAATCTATGGGCAAAGAGGTGATCTTTGTTGTAGTCGACAGATTGAGCAAATCTGCTCATTTCATAGCCTTGAAGCACCCCTTCACAGCATTGGAAGTAGCCCAAGCCTACTTGGATAATATCTTCAAACTCCATGGGTGGCCTAGAAGTATTGTGAGTGATAGAGATGCCACCATATTCATGAGCCAATTTTGGCAGGGGCTCTTTTCTTTGCAGGGCACTGAGCTTCACCTATCATCTGCTTACCACCCACAAATGGATGGGCAAACTGAGGTAGTCAATCGATGCCTTGAAATGTACCTCAAATGCATGTGTGGGGAGAAACCTGAGGATTGGTGTATGTGGCTTCCATTGGCAGAGTGGTGGTATAACACACACTACCACACAGCTACTCAATTGACCCCTTATGAAGTGGTCTATGGACAGCCTCCTCCAGTGTATTTGCCTTACCTACCTGGGGAATCCAAGGTGGATTTAGTGGACAGAAGTATGCAGCTCAGGCAACAAGTACTTACCCAGCTTAAGGCCAACTTACTCAAAGCCCAACACAGAATGAAGCACCAAGCTGACAAGCATAGGACAGAAAGGAGTTTTGCAGTTGGAGACTGGGTGTGGTTAAAGCTGCAGTCCTATAGACAACAATCTGTCCAACAAAGGAGCAACAATGAGCAACAATAAGCTATCTCCTAAATACTTTGGGCCCTTTCAGATTGAAACCAAAGTTGGACAGGTGGCTTATAAGCTCAAGCTTCCAGACACTTCTAAGATACATAGTGTCTTTCATGTCTCCCAGCTGAAGCCATTTAGAGGAACTCTACCTGTAGCAATCCATATTCCTGGCTGGTTTCAAGGAAAACTTGCAGGTGAACGTCCCATTCCTCTGGCTATCCTAGACAGGCAGCTGAAGAAGGTCCAGAACAAGGCACAAGTATACTACTTGGTTCAATGGGAAGGCTATAGCAGACTAGAAGCTACATGGGAACCAGCTGAAGACTTTATGGCTAAGTACCCTGATTTTCCACTCAATGTGCAGACTTGAGGTCAAGTCTATTTGAAGAGGAGAGCAATGATAAGGGTTGTTAGTAGTTGTAAGTTTGTTAATGGTGGTTACAGGGTTTGTTACAAGTTGTTAGTTGGTTAGCTGATGTGGCAAAGCGTTTTGAGTTGTATAAATACGTAGGGCTATGCTGTAAAGAGACAATAATGATGAAATCAATCTTCTTCTTCTCTCTAAATATCCTTCCCGGTTCTTCCTCCCCAAAATATCTTCCCTTCTTCCCCAATCTTCTCAAACATTCATAGCAAGTTCAACTTGCTATATCAGTCTGTTGTGGGTTTACGGTAAGATTGTTATATATACGGTTCATTTCTACTGCTACCAACTTTTTGAATGAGGATTCTCTCATTAGCTGCATGAGATGCATACCCCCTTAAACATATCAGTTCTTAGCATACCCCAGACGTGCCTTACTGCAGGTCCAATGGCTGGAGCCTTTCGTAGCCCAAGTCTTTAGATGTTTGCAACTTGACATTTATTGTTTTCTGAGGTCCGTCATTGAAACTTGCGCATTGAATAGTATACATTTTTTTAAAGCATAAACATGGGCTAGTTTAAGTTATATTCCTCATTCTCTCACGACTAAAAACACTCTAACCAAAAAGCTTACACTATCACTTCTGTGCTGCCCATTGATTGTTTTCTGAGGTCCGTCATTGAAACTTGCGCATTGAATAGTATACATTTTTTTAAAGCATAAACATGGGCTAGTTTAAGTTATATTCCTCATTCTCTCACGACTAAAAACACTCTAACCAAAAAGCTTACACTATCACTTCTGTGCTGCCCATTGAAGCAAACGACAAGGGCAAACACTACTTCCCATTTGTTATGCTTATCGGATAGAGATAAGAAAAAAATGTGTTAAAGATGAATACAACAAAGATGACCATTTTTATGATGATGGGAATGATATGTTTATTTGCTTCACTTTTTAGCAAGAATGATGATATTAGGTTTGATGATTTTTTAGTTGGATTGCTATGCTAATATGTTTTTTTTTTGAGAAACTCTCTGTTTTAAACTTGAAACTGGATCTCGGAACATGACTTGAAGCTTTTAAATTTTTATCACCTTTAGTTTTTAGGCTTTATTATGGTGTAGGGTCATATTGCTTGTCATGGTTAATAGTTTGTGTATTTAGCGTTTGTCATTGTTTTTGCCTCACGTTCAAGAGCATGGAAAACCTTTGTACCCTTGTTGCATCATGTGTTCTCTATCAGTAGGACATTTCATCTTTAATCACTTAAAGCTGTACTAGTTTTCTCAACTTTTGTAGAATCATCTTCCTCTTTTTTTGTAAATAGGTCTTGTAAGCAAGTTAATTCACGTGTGTAGGAGGCCATTTTGATAATTTTTCTTTTTGCTACGATGTGTTCATCACTCATATCCTTGTCAAACAGATTGGTGTGGGGAGTTTGCATCTATCTACGAAGTACTATACTACTAGTTGATTAATAATTATTATTCTATTAGTCCTTGCAATATTGCCTTTATAGGATGAGGAACTTTTCTGCTTTGTATGCGGGTGATCATCCTATATTGTACTCCATTCCTAAATAACTGTCTAATATGACATTTTAAATACATTAGATTTTGAGTGAATGTGGACAAGCGTTACGTCTACATCCATTTGATTGATCTTGTTGCATCACTGTTGTCTTATTTAGTTGATCTTGTTGCAGGAAACCAAGTGAGGGAAGTGATGGCGACAGTTATAGGGAGACAACTTGTGAATATGTGGGAAAGCAGAATCAACAGAATACTATTGCAACTGGAAATGGATTTAAAAGACCGTCGTTAACAAATGATGCATCCTTGAATGAGACAAGTAATCCACCTGGTCTGCTTACATTTCAATTCTTGGAACAAAATCCTCCACAGAATCGTCAACCATTGACTGAAAAGGCATGTAATCTTACTTGCAGGGGCTTGAGTTTAGTCTTCTACTTTGTGTGCATCATCAAATAGTTCTCTTTTTCGACCCATTTTTTTTAATATTTATAACAGATCATAAATCTTGCATCTCAATTTCCTGAGCTGAGGACATATAGGAGTTGTGACCTGACACCAGCAAGTTGGATTTCTGTTGCTTGGTAACTATTAAGCACCTCCCCACCCCCAAACACAAGCACACACACACACAGGGATTTGAACAGTGCGCACGGTCCATTGTGAAAGTTTTGATTCAAAAAAACATGCCGTTATGATTTTGAAGGTACCCAATATACCGGATACCCATAGGCCCAACACTGCAGAACCTTGATGCTTGCTTCTTGACATTTCATTATCTTTCATCTCCACTTAACAGTAAGTTTTTCCCCTCTTCTGAAATAGTTTATGCATCCATTTCCAGACCCCCCCCCCCTCCCCCCTTTTAAATAGAGCGGGATTAGCATCTGTTCCACAGTTTCAAAGATGAATTGATTGCATTTTGTCCAGGTAACATCATGGGGATGCGTGATAGTCAACATCATGGCAGCATGCCCATCAAGCTCTCACTTCCATGTTTTGGGCTCGCATTTTACAAGTTGAAAGTTTCTGTCTGGGCTCCAATTGACGAAGATGAATCTCAAAAGGTCAGCTCTCTCTTACGAGCTGCTGACAATTGGCTCCGATGGTTGCAAGTCGACCACCCAGATTACAGGTTCTTTCTTTCACGCAGTGCATACTTTAGGTGAACCTTCCGACATAAATCAACACGACTGAAGTGAACTACTCCATTATTTCCGGTCTGCCTGCTCATTGACTGAAGCCCTATACTACTACTATAATATATGTGAGATTGCCATAATGGCTCGTGCTTTCTAGTTTCTCTGGCCCAAATTAACAATGCGGTATTTTTGCAATAGTATGCAGGGGTTATATAAGTTGTCCACCATGAACGGCCGATTCACACATCTTATAATTTATAATGATGGAGATACTGACCGTATTTGTAAAAATTAGTTTGACTTGTATCATTGTTGTTGTTACCATTACTATTTATAATGACTTGTATAATAATAATAATAATAATAATAATAATAATAATAATAATAATAATAATAATAATAATAATAATTTTCTTATTAGTATTGTGATCATCATCACATGTGAGCTAATATAAGGCTATTCTATCAAACCTTATAAATACCATTGGTGGCACATAATTATTTGTGGACCTACAGATGAGGGTCATAAATCCAAACAAATGATGTCAGGTTGTTTTTTAATTCCTCCAAACCCATGCCCTAAACATGCATCAAACCCTCAATCTCTTAGGCTGAACGCATTTGTTTGGCCAGGGATGGTCGTGATGGCTAAGTTGGATGCCACGTCCGTGTGGGAACACGGTCCCCCTCGCCCGTGAGCGTGGTGGAGGTGATGCCCATCACGCCATTCACGGTAATTTTCTTCTTCTTCCTTTTTTTCTTTTTTCCCTCTGTTTCTTTTTCTGCGTTTCTTCATCTTCTTCTTCCTCTTGTTTTTTTTTCTTCTTCTTCTTTTTTACCATAGTTGTTTTCTTCTTTTTTATTCTCCTTTCCACGACAATTTTTTTACTTTTACTTTAACTTTTTAAATTATTTTGATTTAGAACTAATCCTGAATAGTTTTTATTCCGCCCATTCTTTTATCGCATTATGTCAATGTAATTTTAATTTTAATGTTATTAAAATATTCATTTAATGTTTTTATTCTAAGTAATTTTGATTTGTAAAAAAAGGTTGGGCGTGATCCACCCCCACCAGCCTAAGGGCACTGGAACTATACCTAACAATGGGGGGCATTTTTTTCGAATTTAATGCCCCGGGCGTTAAACACGCCCCTTGGGACTTCATCGCCACATCATCACCCATGTGTCAAACGTTAAGCGGGCGAATGGCAGCGGACCCCCTCCCTTCCAACAGCTAGAATGCCGTTACATATTTAAAAAATAAAAAAATCTTTCTCTATAAATTCACTCTTTTTTAAAAATAATAATACTCCATAATAATTTTCTTATTAGTATTGTGATCATCATTACTGAAATGACAACAATTCAACACCCCTGAGGCCAGATCGTCAAAGAAAAGATCCTTCGTCGAGGTTGAGGCCGATGACACTATCGACTCGTCGGAACAAAGGCCTTCCTTCAACTTAGACGACTCCAATGACGAGGACCTCATTCCACAGCCGATTGGAAGAAAGAAGGCAAAAATCATTGCCTCAGGTTCTGCAGGGTCTATGTCAGTTTCCTCTCACGACGATATCATCTGGGAAATTGTTGGACAACTACGGGTGTTCGATATTAGGAAAGAAGAGAGGGAGAAAAGAAGGCAAGAGAATGAGGAGCTGGAAATAGGTAAAACCGACCTTGATATATAATGTAATTATTTAAAATTTAATGTTATTTTTTATTGAATGTAATTTTTTTATTTAAAGAATTATTGTTATTTAAATTCAATTATTTAATTAAATTTTATTAATTTAATTTTACAAATTGTGTATTAAAAATTTAAAACATAAAGGTTTGAAGGCCACTTTGAAGCCACGAGGCTTCAAACCCATTTCCAATGAAACTGTGATGTAAATTAAAGAGGAGTTAAAGCTGATGTTGCAGATAGAGAAAGTTTGAAGCCCAGATTTGAAGCACGGAGCTTCAAGACCATTTCCAGTGCTCTTACCTGTATTTCGAAGGAATATGGCCAAATTCCAAATCTAGATGTCCTAACTCGTAACTAAAGCAAACTCTTAATTGCCAACCTCCCGTCCATTTTGGCACCGACTTTAGTGGGCAACACTAGTGGCTTTTTCAAGTAGAAATCATCCTAAATAGGACTAAAACATATTTAAAAAAATACGAAAATAGAAGTTTCATACTTTTATTTACAAAATAGGATTTCGCATTGTGGTAATGTGGTTGTAATGTGGCACTGTACATGTGCACATTACTATACTTTTTGTTAATGTACATGACCATGTTTGGGAATGTAAATGCATTTTAACGCTTATTTTTAGAATAAAAACATAAAAATCATATTTTAATATATTTTCAATGTTTTAATACTACTTTAATCTTTTTTTCTAATAGGTATCCAAACGGACAATTAGAGAACTTAACCCAAAACAGGACCAGTACCGTGTCATATTTTATCGAAATATAGGGGGAGCTGTATTTTTAAAAATAGTTTTACAGACTGTACAGCACACGGCCAGACACTAGTCCATTTAAATAGTCCGTAGTTTTCTCACTCATTTTGAATGTGTCCAAATAGATTCAAGCGAAAATGTCATTCATATCTCTCTCCCTTCTTCTCCTTCTCAGCTTTGAAATACATAGCGCCCACGCTCAGGAATCTCAGACTCCGGCCGACGATTGCAACGGCATCTTCTTACAGTACGTGTTCACTTCAGGGTCCATTCTCAAGCCCACACTCAAGGCCCACCAACCCTACCGTTTTGAGTCCACTCTAAGTATCATCAACAACGGCCCCGATGAGCTCAAGTCCTGGCGGGTTTTCGTCGGGTTCCAGCACGATGAGTTCCTCGTCTCTGCCTCTAACGCCGTGCTCGACGACGGGACTTCGCTTCCGGCCGCCGTTGGGAACGGAACTGTTTTTGCCGGGTATCCTAATTCGGATCTGAAGACTGCAATCGAGACCGCCGGTGATTCGACCCAGACTAGTGCTATGGTCGAGCTTGTGGGTACCCAATTCGGAGTAGGTTTAAGGAATGCTCCCATGCCATCCAATATCTCTCTCGTGAATGATGGCCTGATTTGTCCTAAACCCTCTATGAAAGGTTTGAGCTTTATTAACTCTTTACGGAGTATTTATTTCATTTCGTTCTCCACTTCATTTTTTTTCAAAATTGGTGTTTCATGGGTCATGAAGAATGTGATGGTTTTTGTTTTCACTATTGCTTAAGGACTGATTGGATGCGTGATATTGTGTTTGTATATGCTGTGCCATATAGTTGTCTTATCCACATGGAGTTACTGATATGTAATTCCCGGTGGAAAAGTTGAATAAGAATACGAAACCTAAACCAGCTTTGTTTGGAATTTAATGTTAAACTAATTAATAAAGACAAAGTTAAGTATATTTCTTTAAGGAAACAAAAAGTTAAGCATTAAGCTGAAGGATCGTGGTCAAAATAATGATGATATGAATGTGACCATTATATTTGAATAATTTGATACACCTTGATCTTGCAACGGATCTTTGGTTGGAACCTCGTTTGTTTTTATATGTGCAATTTGAGAGGGGTTGAAATTTAAATGAAAATTTGTTTTTCTGTGGAGGTGTATATAATAACACTTCTCCATCAACTAAGCGTCTAAAGAGGTAAATTTGATGGAATTAAGGTGGAATATGGATTGATATTTCATTGATTTACAGATTGCTTTTCTAATGCATTCATTTCATTTCATCTAGAACCTATCATGGCAGCTTCAAGCCGCGGGTGCTATAAGTTTGAAATGTGCCAGTGTAGTTTCATGTAAAACCTGTATTTGTTGTTGCCAACATCCACCACATGACTTCTTGGTATGAACTCTTGTTAAGATTAGGCGTCTAGAGTTATTTAGAATAATACGGAGTAACATCTTAATATAATGTTGGTTTCAGCTTAGCACCGGCTTTATTACATCACTATGATGATATCATGCGTTAGCGCATCATTTGACTTACTAGGGGTAAATAACTATAAATATATCACTATGATGCATTCTCATTTTTCATGTAAGGTGTTTCCTTTGAGCCAAACCCAAAATGTGTGTGTGTGTGTGATTTCTCTCACACACTTTCTGGCAGTGAGGGCTTTGGTGCAATTGTGCAATTATATCTGAGAAATAGGAAAACCATTTCCACTTCAGTTACATCACATGATGATACCACAAGTGGGGTTTGAGATGGGTGGGTGTATGTAGACCTGAACCTACTTGCAAACGTAGAGACTAGAGAGGTTGTTTTTGGAAGGTCATCAGCTCAAGAAAACATAAAAATATGTTAGAATAGTCAAATTCTAAGAGATGGATAAGAAAGGTAATTAATAACCAAAAAAAACCGAAACACTCCTTTTGTACCTCCTTAACTATGATTAATACTAGCACTTTATGTACAACTTGTACCTCAAAAGGTTGTAATTAATTGTGATCTTTGATTTGGGAGCTTCCAAACACATTTCTTTTAACTCCTCTTCATTCCTAGTTCTCTACAATATCTAAAACAATATCTCCTCTAACTCACAGCCTTTAAAATAAATCTGAAACAATCTTTACTGGAATTGGTCTTGCCCTAACGAAATTTAGCTTGCCTCCACAATATGTGTTGTGCATATCAGTTAGTCTTTTATCTCATTTCTGCCAGCAAATTAATCCTTGTCGTGTGTGTGCCATAAGGATTTTGTTAGCTTAGCCAACAATCAGACTCCCATCACTGTTGAACAACCAATTTCATCCCCCCAAATGCTCCAAGATTCCTGATTTTGTCGCACATTACAACCATACAACAACCACCTACCTACTCGACTCCCACAAGTTGGGTCATATCACAACTATAGAATGTGAATAAGCCTGCTGGTTACTTCCTCTCATAATTCGTAACTCTGAAATCCATACAGATGTTTGGAGACCATCCCGTGCCACATACTCTCATGGGTCTTAATAATGAAATAACAATTTGAGTTACTTTTTTCAAAATTATATTGCTGAATTCTAGTACAAATTTCCAAATTTAGTGTTCTCATGTAGTGACAATGGTTCAAATATTTTTATACACCCTCTAAGCCTATATGAACTAGGGATGTGTCACACAAGTCCTCTTATATCAAACTTCCGTAACAAATGAGGTAGCAGAGCGTAAAAACAGATACATGGCATTAACCATTTGTACCCTTTTAATCTATACATGTGCTCCGTGTCATTTCGTTATGGAGGATGTCATTCTAACAAAAACACTTTTTGATAAAATGCATGCTGTATCTTATATGTTATCAACATTGTTGCCCCATACTCAGTGCTTTATCCTCAGCATGAATTACTTCTTATTTTAGAGTGAATTTGCTTAGGGGCTGTTTGTTTCAGCCTCTTAATGGTTCAGATGTCTGAATGGTTCAGCACTTAATGGTTCAGACTGTTTGTTTCAGCCTCTTAATGGTTCAGATGTCTGAATGGTTAAGAGATTTGCCTCTGAATGGTTAAGTATTATACAGAGTCTGAATGGTTAAGAGATTTGCCTCTGAATGGTTAAGTATTATACAGAGTCTGAATGGTTAAAACCTCTTATCTGAATTGATCAGACATTTGCCTCTGAATAATTAAGCAATATACTAGCTCTTAATGGTTCAGACCTCTTACTGGTTCAGCACTTAATGGTTCAGACCTCTTACTGGTTCAGCACTTACCTATTCAGAAGTTGCCAAACAGCCCCTTAGTTTATGAGTCACACAAGTAGTTCTCATTCAAAACTAATGCTCCAGCCTCTCAAATACATATTATTAGGATACTCATGTCTATAGAAAGGGTAGCACAGCTAATATGCCGATGTCAAACATCACCTCATTTCTTTGAGTGTCACATTCCTTGAGTCAGTCAAGTATTTTCAGCTCACTTCATCAGATCACACGACTATTTTCAATGTCTTACCTCTCCCACGAGTAGCATATTGTGGTTACTGTCCACCTCATATTTAGATCACTCACGAGCACAGCAATGAACCTCAAGTCACACTGCTACAATCTCTGCCAGCTGAACAAATATGTTTTCTCGAGGTCTATCAATGTTGTCATCAGTCAAGCACCTACTGACTCACTTGCTCCACTTGTCTTGTCTCTGCTTGTGGATCCTTTGCTGTTCAATGATATTAACGCACACATTGCTATTCATAGAGGTAAATGTTCTATATTCATTAATGATTATCATTGCCTTTCCGTCTCATATGATGTTTTTCGTCTCAAATTTCTTCTTTGTATCCATCGATGTTTGTAGTTATGCTAGGCCCTTATGCCTCAAGGCATGCCTCAACGATTTTTACAACAACTCCAACATAAGGCTATGTGCGAAATTGGAAATGGTGAGGCTTAAGTAATATGAGATTGAGGTGTATTTATCTCTGCTTACACATTGACCCTTAGGTGATGTTTACTCAATATTATTTCCAAATTTAATTAACTTTCAAATAGCTAAGGTTTTTTGGCAATGGAGAGGCTTAAGTAATATGAGGCTGAGGTCTACTTATCTCTGCTTACACAATGACCCTTCGGTGAGGTTTACCCAATATTATTACCAGATTTTAATTAAGTTGTGGCCATTTTTAGAAAGATTTTTTAATTGCCTTCCAAACTTCGTGTGGGCAAGGTTCTGCGACAGTCAAGCTTTTCGACTTGACAACTTCAATGCATGTTATGTCCTATTTTTTCCATAGTCATGTGTTTTTATATTAATTTTACAACAGCCTGACTTCATTAGGTTGCAAATCTTTCCAAATAGTGGTTATCCTTTTACCGATAACATGCTTTGACATAAGTCAGTTAGCACTGTTTGCTGCTCTATTGCTTTCATTTTTTTATCTTGACGAAGATAATGTGTAGGAGCTACTAGTGGGTTTGTTACATAGGGATTGACTTTAATTTTCATGTGACACCACACAGTTTGAATTATCACATTTCATGAAATACTTAGACACATTGAAGTTGATCGTTACTTCCTCCTAGAATAGGTAGAGATCAGGTCATCCAATGAGGCAACACCACATAGCTTGAAATCCAGTTTTCGTGAAACAACTAAATGAATTGATATTGATTCTCATTTCTTCAATAGAAAAAGGTAGGTCATATTTGGATGTATAATCACTTGGTTTGTAAATTCTGCTGAGCGTTTAACCGATATATGCACCAAATCTCATACAACTCCTAGAATTGGTTACATTTATAACAAATTTTGATCATATAATTTATATGGTCCAGCTTGAGGAGTACATAATTACAAGAATTTTCTAGAATCATGACATCGTATCATCCACATGCTAACTTAATCTCAAATACATCACTATGGTGATGCCACATATTTAGCTCATCATTCAATTTACTATGTTAACTACCTATAAATGTTCCATTTGTACAAAGTTTATATGATTTAATATTCTATTTTTCTTTTAAACCAAACAAGATTTAGCTTTTCATTGAGTGAATGAATTCACTCGTGTATCTTTCAGGGAACAATACTATGTTTGTGTGCTGCGTGAAAGATCCCAAGTTCAAGGCTAATCTGACCAGAGATGGGGATGAATTCCTACCAAGGGAGGAGGGTGATCTTACTATTATGTATGATATTACAAGAACGTATGACTCCAATTACTGGACACAAGTTTCCATTGCCAACCATAACCCGCTTGGCCGTCTTGACAATTGGAAGTTGAGTTGGGATTGGATGAGGGATGAGTTCATATACATCATGCAAGGGGCTTATCCGTCTCTTGTTGATTCTTCTGATTGCATCTTTGGCAGGCAGGGTGAGTTTTACAAGGACCTCGACTTTTCCAATGTATTGAACTGTGAGAGGAGGCCGACTATTATTGACCTACCGCTGGAGAAGGCCAATGACACAACCCTGGGGAAGATTCCTTTTTGTTGCCGCAACGGCACTATCTTGCCTCCTGCAATGGATCCCAGCAAGTCTGTTTCTGCATTCCTGATGAATGTATTCAAGATGCCGCCAGATCTTAACCGTTCCTCGTTCACTCCACCACAGAATTGGAAGATCAGCGGTCGGCTGAATCCAGATTACAAATGTGGACCCCCTGTGCGTGTGACTCCCAGTGAGTTCCCCGATTCGAGTGGACTGCTGCCGAATAAAGCGGCATTTGCCAGCTGGCAAGTGGTGTGCAACATTACCCAACCGAAGGGCGCAAGCCCGAGATGTTGTGTATCATTCTCTGCTTACTACAATGAATCAGTCATCCCTTGTTCGACGTGCGCCTGTGGCTGCCCTGCCAACACAGCAAAAACATGTAGTACCAAAGCGCCAGCTCTACTCCTTCCAGCACAGTCTCTGTTGGTTCCTTCTGAAAATAGGACTAAAATGGCATTGGCGTGGGCTTCTCTTAATCATTTTGCCGTGCCAACCCCTTTGCCGTGCTCGGATAACTGCGGCGTTAGCATCAACTGGCATTTGTTGACAGACTACAGAGGCGGATGGTCTGCAAGGATGACACTCTTCAACTGGGATGAGTTCTCATTTGCTGATTGGTTTACGGCAGTGGAGTTGGATAGAGCTGCTGCTGGTTTTGAGGCAGTCTATTCCTTCAATGGGACCACACTAAGTGGTGTCAACAATACCATATTCATGCAGGGCATTACTGGATTGAACTATTTGATGGGAGAGACGGACGGAGTTAATCCACACAAGGATCCGAGGGTACCGGGTAAACAGCAGTCCGTAATCTCATTCACCAAGAAGAATACCCCTGGTATCAAAATTGCCGCTGGCGATGGTTTCCCAACCAAGGTTTACTTCAACGGCGAAGAGTGCTCGATACCAAAACTCCTTCCAAAAAGCGGTTCGTTTAGAATCAGCTCAGATGTTCTTCTCACTTCTACCATTCTACCACTTGTCTTCACCATGTTGATAATAATAACAAGACAATAGTAACACACTCAATGGGTATGTCATTATTGTCTTATCTGTTCATTCTTTAGTGTAATATTGTTACAAGCCGGGAGAGACACGGTTGCTGAATTTTCAGAAGACCGACCGAACCGACCGACCATTGTATATAATTTTGTGAGGATTTTGCTACTCTAAAGGGGGGTTTTGTACGAGTCCAGAGATTACTCAATTAGTATAGGCCATTATACTTACACTGCTGTACTCGTTAACATTCTGAAGCTAAGATAGTGCCTTTGTGACAACTTTGTCTGCAAAAATTCATCCAATCACTTCAGCTATCAAAACTATTTATTACACAATCTCAAGCATCGAACTACCAGGATGCAATGACTTGTTCTTCTTCAAGTTCTTATAGTTGTGCCACCAACCACAACCAAAACATTGTTTCGATTTGTTTCTATGGCCAGTCACATAGAACGATATCTTATCATCTCTATTAACTTCTCCGTAATAAATAAGGAATTTACTATAGTATACGCCCAAGTCAAAGCTGGCTCTCTCATCTCACCTTCTTAACTAGAAAAATCAAATTCACGCGACTAGAAACCCTAGCTTGACCTACATAATACTCCCTCCGTCCACCTAAGATCTTCCCATTACGCGTTACGAGGCTTGACCGACTTTATTTTCGATTCAATTTAATTGATTATAGGAGTAAAATTTTAAAATAAAATTTATATAGTAATAAACTACATCAAAAGTTCTACAAAACTAGATGTGACAAGACTATATTATTTTATAAAATGACTAGTAAAAATGAGCAAACAAAGTAAGTAAAGTTTGATCATGTGAATAGTGTCTGGAAAGATCTATGGTGGACAGAGGGAGTAACAAATTCAATGATTGACCTAGAAAATTGTCTCTAATACCAAATTGTTTTTATAAAGTACTTCACAAAATCACAAATTTAAAATTAAAGATTTGGATGTACTAAAAATCTAAAATGAATAAATATAGATTTAACATTTACCCAGTATAAAAGAAGATCTTGATGTACTAATAAAAAAGAAGCTCGAAACTCTAGAAGTCTAGAACCCTTCAAATTTTAATGGCAATTGGTACAATAATCAGATTGTGGAATGTCCCTTATGTCCATGTACGAAGATAATGAAAGAATGAAAAAAAAAACCCTTCGACCCAATCTGCAAATTCAAGAATGCATTGTATGAACAGTCAATACGCAAATACGCATTCAAGAAAAACTATTAACTTTCTTCCAAATTCACTAAATATGAGTTCGTATATGGTAAAGCCCGTTGTACCAAAAATAAAGTACAATCGAGGAGTACTCATTTTGAAGTATAGTACTCATTCTCGCATAAAACATAAATATTCATTTTGAAATAACGTAGAAATTATTCTGAAATAATCTAGCATTTGCCATTCATTCTGAATTAACGTAGCACTCATTTTCACACATTTATTCGATACAAATGTAGTGTTCATTTTGAAGCACAATAATGCTCATTCTCAAATTACACACTGCTCATTCTCGAGTAACCTACATTCATTCCCTTCAGATTTGAAAAATATAGTTTAATTACTCTTACCATCGTATCATTTCACTGATGCAAAATCGATCAGACATCTTCATCAATCACAGCCGTGCTTCCTCAGTCGCCTTCATCTTCCATCTTCTTTGACCTTGCCGTGCTTTCTCCATCTCGCAGCCGTGCTTCCTCGATCTCGCTGGATCGACACAAGAAGGGTTGGATCTCTGCTCCTCTCCCCAAATCATGTTGCCCCCTTAGCGATTTCACAACAAAAATTGGGTAAAAAAAATCAAGTCTGCTCTTCCTCCCTAAATCCGGACATAAATTTTAAGCCGATTGTACGAAAAGAATCATATAGTCGTCTGTACGATATAATTTGCGACTAAATATAGTTTATAACAACTCCATAATTCTTATAAATCATCTACTTCATCCAAATTTAAGTTGGAAAATGTTATAGTGTACCAAAAGTTTACATTATTTTTTGTGTTAGATGAGAATGATAAAGAAATATTTACTACCTTGATAAACATTTTTAATGCAATAAATAAATAATACTTTGATATAAAATGTGGGTAATTGTTAAAGGAAAGAGAATATTTGGTAGAATATTTGGTAGAATATTTGGAGATATTTGTGTATATATTGTTTTGGTAGTTTTCCTTGTATAGGGATTCTTTCCTTTTCCCTTTCCTTTACTTATTAGGAGTCTCAACTTGTGAGATCCTATATATATGTCCTCATTGTAAATTGTAAACACAAGAGAGAAATACAGAGAATTTCCTCCCAAATAATTCTTTCATGATATCGGAGCCAAAACCCTAGAGTTTTTCAGCGACTACTGTTCACGATCGCCTGGCATGGCGTCCATCGATCGTTGCTCAGTTTCAGTCGTTTGTTGTTGTTGCCGGAAAACGGAACGGTCGACCGTTGCTCTTGAACGGTCGAGCACGTCGACCGTCTCGTCGGCAGATTGTGTGATAGATGCTGCTGTTGATTCTTCTGCCACCGCCGTATGCCACTCTGCTACCGCCATGGCCGATGAACAACCAAGGAAGATGTTTTTCTCCCTATCATCGTGTGTTTCTAGTATGAAGCTTTCAGGTATTCCTGTGTCACCGCGTTGGATTATAGATACTGGGGCATCAAATTATATGACTGGTGATATTTCGTTATTGCATGACGTCGTGGGAATATCACCATGTGAGATTGGTTTGCCATATGGGAAAAGAATTATTTCTGTACAATCTGGGAAGATTAAATTAACAGAAACATTACTTCTACACGATGTTCTATATGTTCCCACTTTGAGTTGTCATTTAATCTCTGTGTCACAATTGACAAGGGATTCGAACTGTGAGGCACGTTTTGCCAACGATAAGTGTATACTACATGATCTGTGTTTAAAGACAGAAATTGGTATGGGTGAGCAGGAAGGAGGACTTTATTACTTCAAGGAGCCAGAAAAGAAGATGGTGTGCAGTGCGAAGAAGGAGAGTAAGTTTGATCTTTGGCACAAATGACTTGGACATCCTTCCTCTCATGTTTTGTCTCTTGTTCCTGGAGTTGGAACAAGTAAGAGTAGTCACAGTTGTTGTGACATTTGTTTGCGTGCTAAACAGACTCGTGGGAGTTTTCCTATAAGTTTTTATCAATCTGTTGATAAATTTGATATGATACACTGTGATTTATGGGGACCATATAAGACTCCAAGTTTTGATGGTTCTACAATGTTCTTAACCATTGTGGATGATTTTTCAAGAGGTGTTTGGGTACATTTGCTTGATTCCAAACGTAAGGTTGGCACTGTTTTTAAACAATTCTGTGCTATGGTAGAACGACAATTTGGGAAGAAAATAAAGTGTGTTCGTAGTGATAATGGCGCAGAATTTGAATGTCTAAACGAATATTTCCGGGAGCAAGGAATTATTCATGAAACGTCTTGTGTGTCTACTCCACAACAGAATGGGAGAGTAGAACGCAAGCACCGACACATTTTGAATGTGGGTCGGGCTTTGAGGTTTCAGGCTGGTCTTCCGATTGAGTTCTAGGGAGAGTGTATACAGACCGCCGCACATCTGATCAATCGCACACCTTCATCTTTGCTAGGGGGGTCACACCATACGAGAAGATCTATGAAAAGCCACCCTCTTTGGCTCATATTCGTGTTTTTGGATGCAGATGTTATGCTCATAACTTAAAGAGGAATGGAGATAAATTCGCACCAAGAAGCAATCCTGGAATATTTGTTGGATATCCACAAGGGAAGAAGGGATGGCGTATTTACTACCCGGACACTGGAGAAATTAAGGTGTCCCGGGATGTTGTGTTCTATGAAGATATTTTCCCTTTCTTGACTCCTACAGGTGCATCTCTTGATACAGGAAGTAAAAATGAGGTTAGCTCTTATGATGAAGATGAAGAAACGCGGACGGAAGAACAGATGGACCGTTCCAGGAGGGACGGTGGACCAGAGGAAAGCGGTAGAGCAGACAGGCTACAGACGGTCGACCTGATGGACCGTTCGGATGTCCACGGTCGACCGTCCGAGAGGCAGAATGACGGGTTCCTGAGAGATGACCAAACGGTCGACCTGGTGGACCGTTCTGATATCCACGGTCGACCGTCCGCAAGGCAGAATGACGTTTCTTTGGGAGATGATCAAACGGTCGACTGTGATATGGAAGACGGTCGACCATCTCCGAGGTAGAAAGTTAGCGATCCGGAACAGCTTCAGACGGTCGACCCGTGGACCGTTCCACGAACGGCGGTCGACCGTCCTCTTCCCAGCAGGCGGTGGAGAACTTGGGACGTGGTCAACGTGAGAAACGTCCAAATGTACGCCTTGCCGATTATGTTACTCATGTAGCTGGTTCACATGTTGGTGAAAAATGCAAATATCCTCTTGCCTCGTATGTCACACACGAGAAGTTCTCTGACAGACACAAGTGTTTTCTCAGCGCACTTGATGCTGGAGTGGAGCCCACAAGTTTCAAGAAGGCATTCCAGGATGAACGATGAAGGCTATGAGAGAGGAGATTGATGCACTGGAGGCTAATGGGACGTGGTCTCTTGTCTCTCCTCCACGCCATAAAAAGCCCCTTGGTTGCAAATGGGTATATAAGATTAAGCGCAAGTCCGATGGAAGTGTAGAGAGATATAAGGCCAGACTTGTTATACTTGGCAATCATCAGGTTGAAGGACTTGACTACAAAGAAACATTTGCTCCTGTAGTCAAGTTGACCACTGTGAGAACGCTTTTAGCAATTGCAGCAGTTAAGGGGTGGGAATTGCATCAGATGGATGTTCACAATGCATTTTTACACGGAGATCTTCAGGATGAGGTGTATATGAGATTGCCACCTGGTTTCTCGAATTCGTCTAATGTGGTGTGCAAACTCAAGAAATCTCTGTATGGCTTAAAGCAAGCTCCAAGGTGTTGGTTTGCCAAGTTGTCTGGAACCTTAAAACGCTATGGGTTTGTTCAATCTGTTGCTGATTACTCCTTATTTTCTTTTGTTGGAAAGAAAGGAGTCATACATGTTTTGGTTTATGTTGACGATTTGATTATTGCTGGAGATAATGCAGAGATGGTAAGCAAGTTCAAAGCCTATCTCGAAGATTGTTTTCATATGAAGGACTTGGGAACACTGAAATACTTTCTTGGCATTGAGGTGGCGAGGAGCACGCCTGGGATTTTTCTCTGCCAACGAAAGTATGCCTTAGACATCATCACTGAGGCGGGGTTGTTAGGTGCCAGGCCGTTGGGTGCCCCGATGGAGCCAAATCATCACTTGGCTCGTTCCCAAGCCCCGGTCCTTGCAGATCCAGAACTATATCGACGGTTGGTAGGAAGGTTGGTCTATCTCTCCGTTACACGACCGGAACTTTCTTACGCCGTCCACACGTTAGCACAGTTTTTGAAGGAACCAAGGGAGGATCATTGGTCTGCGGCCCTTAGAGTCGTTCGTTATTTGAAAGGATGTCCAGGTCAGGGCATTTTTCTGTCAGCAGAGAGTAGTCTTCAACTCACAAGATGGTGTGATTCGGACTGGGCAGCATGTCCTTTGACGAGGCGATCATTGACAGGGTGGTTTGTGCAGCTTGAAGACTCGCCTGTCTCATGGAAAACAAAGAAGCAATCGACGGTGGCTCGCTCGTCTGCTGAAGCAGAGTATAGAGCTTTGGCTGTCCTTACATGTGAGTTGAAGTGGTTGAAGAATGTTTTGCGGTGTTTAGGGGTTGAGCATAAGGACCCCATGACGGTCCGGTGTGACAGCACGGCAGCACTTCACATTGCTGCTAATC